GTACAGACAACAACAATCATCCACGGAACCGAGTTCGGAGTACAATAAACAATGGAGGGAAAACCGAGATCGCTATATCTATTTTTTTTGGCTCTTTTGGCCGAGTTGCATCTCATTTTGGGGCTTTCCTTTCTCACTCTAAACACCATTTCACTCTTTCTTCTCTCTAAAAACCTTCACCAAACACTCATAAACTTTGATTTCTTACAATCCATGAAGCTTTGATCTATCCCCTTTCACAAATCATAGAGAGCAACTCAAGAACCTCGCTTTATAAGGTGGCGATCGAGTTTTGGGCATTTTGATTTCTAGGGTTTCATCTTCTCCATTCATCAACAAGCTTGAGGTAGGGAAATTTCTTTGAGTTATATGTATATTTATGCTAGATTTTGTTGATTTAAAAGTTTTATTAATGATATTGAAAGTTTGGTTTTGGTTTCAAAAATGTTAAGGGTTTTTTAAAAGTGGGTTTGATCTCTCTCTCTTCCTAAACTAGTTTCTTAAGGGTTTTAACTCACATGATAGGAGAGGTGATGTTTTGAGGGAAAACCTTTTCAAGGGATGGGGGAAATGTTGGTTTTGGAGAAAAACCCTAGAAAAGTGGAGTTGGAGAACATGTTGGGGATTTTTATAAATTAATTTTATTATTTCCAATGTTAGTAATGTTTCTTTTTCTTATGTGTTAAATGAAATGAAGAAAAGGGGCTTCTTAACAATGTTGATGAGGGTGAAATGGTAAAGAATTTGTGGAATAGTTATTGTTGCTTATAGATGTTAAAATGTGATTATTCTTGATGTGTCTAAAGGGACATATAGTCATCTTGTGAACCTTACATTTGGGAAAGACATGAGAATTGGTAAAATACGCACTTCATTGATAGTTATTACATTTTGTTGAACTTGTAGTATGTGTTGGTTTATGTTAAAGGAAGGAAAATGCGGTATGTGGTTACCATTTCACTATTGATGGGATACGTAAAATGGACGGAGATTATGAAATGTTGATCATCATTGCATTACACATTCATACAATCAATTATAATGTTTCTTGCATTGAGTTTTGGATAAATGTCTACATTGAGAAAGGAATATTTTGGAAATGAGAAATATGAAAATTAATTTAGGGTAAATACGTTGGTAAGTCCGGTTAGGAGGTGTAGATAAAATTGATAAGTTGGCCTGAGTGTCCAGAGTGAAAGACCGAAAACAAGCGCGGAGGAGGTACCACTTCCCTTCTGGTTAGCAACCGGTAAAGGGGGTTATTGGTAGTGCTTGTTGAGCCTACTTGCAGATACCAACCTAGGGATTACCTGAGTCTTATTTACCGTCCCTATTGATTAAAATTGGAAGTTTTGGAAATTGTTGAGGTTGTAAACTTTTACTGAAAAATGGTGATCTTCAAGAAGAGCATAAAATGACATTTCTTTAAAATGGCATGGCATGGCATTTGACATTTGCATCTTTCATTGAGAGTTTGCATAACTGTATATACTTTGTAAGATTTCTCTACTAGGCTTTATGCTCACCCCTATGGGACATTGGTGCAGGTAAAGATGTGGTGATCCCGCCGAGTTGAGGGCGTGGGTTTATTTTGTGAAGAGTATATTGCTCTCTTATTTTTGTTGTAAATTTTTGTAAGCCAAGAGCTAAACGTATATGGGTCCGAGAGACCATTTTGTGTAACCGGGCTATTGCCTTGGAAGATGTAAGCCCTTAAGGGCATTTTAATTGTTTGAGACTAGATGCTTCACATGCTATAGATTCATGTGTTCTTCTTATCATTGAATGTATATCCGTATGTAGAACTTTTGTTTAAAACCTTGGAGATTTATAATGTAAAGGCTGGAGAATGATTATATTTAATTTAATGAATGTGGCTTGATATATTATACATGTTGGGTTTATTTCGGGGCAATATAATTATTATTTTTAATATTTATTTATTTATCGGGTTCTCACAGATTATATGATGAAGTAAGAACTAGTCGATATGAATGCTATGATGCAGATTATGATTTTACAAACATCATGAGTGATGAAGGCAAATGAAATCTTGCTAATGCTATGGATTGATGAGATCACATCAACTTCACCCTTATCTTTTTTTCAACTTAAACTTTAATAATTGTACTTTTTAAAATAATTTGAAGTTATCATTTTAGGTTAGACCCACGATGTAAATTATTGTACTGTATTAAGCTAGTTTGAATTCTGAATTTGAAGTGTAAAAGTGCTTATATAAAGGGCCTTCAACTGTAAGTGAGGGGACACGAATCTTTAGAGTATTCTTGAGCTAAGAAAGAAGCTTGGACATCAGCCTTCTTAGAGCAAATAATATTCTGGTAATCCAACAGACTATAAACCCCTTATCACGTAAATATTTTATGGAGTAATATAAATATTTTCCTTGCTTAGTGTGTAAAGTCTGTGCATTATTATATTCAAAGTTGTTTCCATTAGCCACCTTTAGAAACTAGAAGCTTGCCAACATTAAAACCCTACGCTGATTACATTCAAGTAGCGGTCAAACCTTTTAAATACTGTTCTTATTTTGAAAGTATAGTGGACCTAAAACTAAACATCTTAAAATAATAATAAATTGAGCTATTGTTAATATTATAAATCAATAGTTGTATTTTTTAAAAAAAATAAAAAAAATAAATTTGCAAGCACTCTACACATTTCCACTGTAGAGGATCCTTACCCATAACTATAGGGCTATGCTGATAAGGTGTTGTAGATTACTTTTGTTTATTTTATTAATCAATAAAAATGTTATGAGCTAAAAATAACTCCAGGTAAGAGAGTGATGAACACTTACCACACAAGTGCTAATGAGTGTTTGTTACAACTTTAAAAAATGATTATAATTTATTTTAATTTTCAAGACTATTTAGTGTAGCTTTTGTTCATAGTTTATCAGGTAGTAATAGTGTAAATAAGCTTTAAAAAGTTGATTATACAGAAGTTGGGGGAAAGATATTTAAGATATTTTTAGTTTTTGTTTTCTGATTATCAACTTTTAATTTCCAATAATCTATACCAAATAGGGCCTAATGCCCTCAATTTCATAAAACCCAATTTACCAAATATAAAATCATATTCGCTTTTCATTTCCATTAACTAATTGAATTATAAATGCAGAAGCTAATAATAATCCTCGAAATGAAACAATATTCATAAGTAAAACAAATCTCTTTCATTAAGTATATTCCATTTTAAGTGTTCATGAAGATAAAAAAATGTGATTACATGCATTAATACATTTATAACAAATCGACACAACGATTTTACATGAAAAAATCACAATTGGATGCCTCCAATTGTGATAAAAAAAACTACGGGCAAAAGCCACAAAACAATCCACTAAAAAGACATAAAGGAATTATACAGGTATACTCTCAATTACCTAGCAAATCCACGCCCGAATTGAACCAACCGCTATGTGCCTCTTCCAGCCCCGTCTTCACATCGGAATTGTCTTGACGATGAGCCACTCCAGAATCCACCATAGTTTCAGGCTCGAATTCTTTAGAATCCACCGAAAAACAACTCTCTCTTTTGTGTAGAATAAACAAACAATCCTTTGATGTATACTTCTTAAACCATGAGTTGAATACTCAATTAAATATCAAAGAAAACTAGCAAACTAGCCCCAGATATAAACCCTAGAACCCAAGAAGAAGATCTGGAGGAGTAATCCTAAAATCTGACTGAATCGCATATTTATAGAAAACTGAATCGCGATGCTCGCTCGAGCGAAGACTCTCTCGCTCGAGTAAGGAACCAAAAACGCGTGTTTTCCTCAAGTGTCGTCGCTCGAGCCACGCTACCTGCGCTTGAGCGTACAATCATCCTTCTCAGGTTTTTTACAAACGCAGCTTTCGCTCGAGCAAGAACTCCTTTGCTTGAGCGAACAACTTCGAATGCAATTTTGCATTTTGTTTCGGGGGCGCTGCCCCTCAACTCCGCCGTGGCGTTGCCCTGGACCCGCCAAGGGGCGCTGCCCCCTACACCCCAGCGAGCTGACCAGGCAGCTTGATTCCCGTCATAGTCAGCGAAGTGGCAATCTTGAAAGCATTAACATCACAAACTTCTCTGCAAGGCACAATTCGAGTTGAATTCGCATCTAAAAACTCATAGTCTCACTGAAATAAAAATGCGAATACAAGTATAACTGAAGAAAGTTTTGTCCAACGGGATTGTTAACAATAAAAACCTAACAAAAATTTTACCAATTCTAGCACTACTACTACTACCTCCTTCCTCCCACCACCACCACTAATAGAACTATTAAAATATTAGTTTTAAGGTAGCAACTACACAGGAAAATGTTTTTAATAAAAACAAATTAAAATGAATAGATGAATTTTTTTTCTACATAAAACGCTTTTCATTAGAAAATGTTTTTACCAAAACAAACACTGTTTTGGTATTTTCTATATTTTTCATTTATCTGATATTTTCTCTTATTAAAACCGATAATTGCAGCAAAATAAATTTTTTATTGAACAGTTGTTCTAGGTTCATAGAATCTCATAACATTACTAGACATAACCTCTCACATGACGTGAGACAAATACTGTTTTGGTATTTTCTATATGTAATCTGACACATCCAGATTATAATGAGTTTTATGACGAGGAACTGGATTTGTACCCTGCAGCATGTTTGGAGGGAAGCCAATGGTTGTGAGAACAAGAACAAGTTGGCTGGCTGCTATGGAATTGCAGATTCTCCACCTCCAGTCAAGACCTCTTTCTGGTTTGGGATACCTCTGATTAATGCTTATCTTTATAATTATTCATATTTTGTAACCCAAAACAAAAAAAAAAAAGAAGAAAAAAAAGAAACATGAAATCACTATTCTCAGAAATGCTAGAACTTTAACGAATAAAAAAAATGCCAAGCTACATACAATATTCTAATGAGAGCTTAGACACCAAACCAACACACACATGGAGCTTTTATTTGCTATAAAGAGAGCATAAGAATACGAGTTCTAAAGCACCAAAAGGTTGTTCATCATTTCATTGATTTATTCCTATGAATATGAATACATCTCAATAAACCCTCTTTTCCACCATAAGGTTGTTCACCATGTTTCTGCCATCTTTGCAGTCATTACTAATTTACAAATATCATGCTTTAATCAATGGCAGGACTCAAGTTCGCCAGATGTTTATCTTTCAAACTGTTCACCCAGTTTATTGTAACAAAAAATTATTGACATTGTGAGGTGGTCACTGGTGATCCCAACAAAAATTTCTATCAGTCTCCATAGTGCTTTAACCTCCTCAAACCCGTAGCCAAAAATCCTGCGGTCTACTTCATTGCCAACGCAGCTTCCCTTGATTTATTTTCAACTGCCACATGTAGATCAACTAAATATTCTGGAAAATAACTGTAGCAGTTTACTGTGGCAATCCCAGCACTCAAAGTTGAAACGTCACTCATGTTTGCACTTCTCTACGAACTTTTCAGTATAAATATGGAATTGACATTTCATTTTCTATGGGGCATGTTGATTGTGAAATTCGAAAACCTTTGGGCAAGTTTCACCAGTACTCATTGCAAGTACAGGTTCCATCTTTGAAATGATGGAAACGAGTTGCATCTCTAACAACAAACTGACGATCCACAACCTTGCTTACCAACTTAATAAACAAGTGACAGTCTACACATATCCTCAAGTTCTTTATCACAACAATCTCAGTTCCTACACCAGTGTTCAAGAGACCAAATGCAATAGCCAACTTTTCACTGTGCACTCCCATGCCACTTATAAGCTCTTCATTTCTCCTCTCTTGATCATGCTTCTTAGACCCACCAAGTTCCTTCACCAAAACTTCTAACCTATCCAACATTCTATATGTCTCCCCTATCTGAGGGTGTCTTCTATCTCCAGCCACAAAGAGGTGAGTCTTCCCTTTATACTCAACATAACTACAACCAGGATCCTTTTTAAGCTTCCGTTCTCTCATAATCATACGAACCCTTAATACCCCCTGTGACATACCTGCCTCAGTGTATATATTAGACATCAAAACATAGTAGCCAATGTTCTTCGGTTCAAGTTTAATGACATGGTCAAAAGCTAACTCTGCTAGCATGACATTTCTATAGATCTTACAAGCACCTAAAAGGGCCCCCCATACAGCACCATCAGGTTCCACAGGCATTGATTCAATGAGCCTCTGGGCTTCTGCAAGTCGACCTGCCCGACCTAAGAGATCCACCACGCAAGAGTAGTGCTCTGGACCTGGCCGCATCCCATAATTCCTCTCCATTAAAGAAAAAAAATCCAAACCCTTATCAGTCAATCCAGCATGGCTACAAGCAGACAAAATGCTTACAAACATTGCTCCATCAGGTCGAATGCCAGTCTTAATCATCTCTTCAAAGAGTTGCACTGCAGTTTCTCCTCGTCCATGCACTCCATACCCACCTATAATCGCAGTCCATGAGACTAAGTTTTTCTCTGGCATCTCATCAAAAATAGCACGAGCTCTCACCAAATTACCACATCTAGCATACATATTAATCAAGGCATTTTTCAGGAAGGGATTAAATTCAAATTTGCTACGTTCTATTCGCTGTTCCACCTCAAGACCAACTCTTTGGGCTCCAAGATTGGCACAAGATGACAAAACCCCGACAAGCGACACAGGGTCAGGAGAAATCCCTGATGATACCATTTCGTGATAAAGGTCCAAAACTTGGGTGGCAAGCCCATTCTGTGCATACCCAGAAATCATTGCATTCCAAGTAATCAATCCCCTTTTGGGCATATCATCAAACAAGTTCCTGGCCAGTTCAATAGACCCGCATCGAACATACATTGTAAGCAAACAATTCGCAACAGACAAGTCAAAATCCAATCCACACCTGACAGTGAAACAATGAACAGACATCCCAAAACCCAAATGCATGGGAATAGTACAACCCGGAATCAAACCCAATACTGTAACAGCATTAACCGAAACACCCACTTCCCTCATATGACAAAACAACATAATCGCATTAAAAAAATGAGAATTAAAAGTATACCCAGAAATCAAAGCATTGTAACAAACAGTGAGCAACCTCGATTGGGGACTTTCATCGAACAGTTTACGCGCATTGTCAATCAAGCAACATTTACAGTACATAGAAATCAATGCGGTTTGGACAAAGGGTTCGGATTCGCACCCGGTTTTCAAGACGTGGCAGTGGAGCTGTGCGCCGGAGAGGGGAAGAGAGAGGGCGGCAGAGGACTTGAGGGCGAAAGGGAACGTGAAGGCGTTGGGAGAGTCGCCGGAGCGGAGCATACGGCGGTAGAGGTGGAGGCCTTGTTGGTAGAGGCCTTGTTTGGCAAGCTCTTTCAATTGGGTGTTCCATGAAGTGTTTGTTGCGGTTGTGATTGTGTGGGTTTGAAGGTGTAAATGTACGAGTGTGTATGTGTTGGTGCGATGTACTGTCGTGAGTGGCCTGTTCATAGTATGCACCTGTTGTACTTCATTTTTTTGAGCTTTTACATCAAAATGTTATTTGGACAAATATTACAAGATCATTGAGATTTATTTTATTTTATTTTTAATTTCAACAGAAAAAAAAAAAAAATGGAGAGATTGCATAAGAGCATCTTCAGCAATAACTTGTTAAAAACTAGTCAAAATCCATTCTTGTTTTTTTTTTTGGTTTAACTATTATTTTTTCAATTTACACTTCAACAACCCTATCTACTTTAACTATTATTCTTTAAAATATTATTACTTTGTTTTTTTCTTTTTTCAATGTAGCTTTTTTATTAAACCATCATATTTTTTTTACCAGTTCTTCTATTGTCCCAGACTTAAGTTCCCACACAGGCTTCGCCCAAAATCTAGCTGGTGACCCATGTCACAGGGGTGGGACCCACCCACATATTACACCACACCAAAAAAAAGAAAAAAAAGAAAAAAAGCAACAATCAATCGGTTTGATTTGAGTTTGAATTTTCTGAATTAAGTTTTTATAAAATTAATTTTTTTTTATATTTTTTTATTTTTAGTGAATATTTTTAAAATTTTAAGTATTTTTTTATATTTTTTTAAATGCATCTTATGTAGGTGTATCTAAAAAGTAAAATATTTGTGAAAAAATATTTTAAAAAATTAATAAATATACAAAAATATGAAAAATATACTGAATTTTCATAAATTTTTTTTTTGTATTTTTGGTATTTAGTGAATTTTTTAAAGATTTTTTTTACAAAAATTATATTTTTTTAAGTGTATTTATGTTAGGTATGTCTAAAAAAATTTTAAAAAAATTGTTTAAAATATTTAAAAAATTCAGTAAAAACAAAAAAAAAATACGAAAAACAAGAAAGTAGAATTTTTTGAAAAGTATTTTTAAAAAACCAATACCAAGATTTTATTTTATTTTTTTGAACTAAATCTAGGGGCTATTTCCTATCTCTTACTTGCGCTTTTCCTTTGTTGCTTCACTAACTAAGCAAAACTCATCGTCCATTGCTGTTTTCTGTCGTGAAATCTACTCACGTCTTATGTCGTTGTTACCATCCGTCACTATTTTCATGCTTGAAACAAACCTCTCATCGTGCCTGAAATGAATGTGTTCGTTGTCTCGAGTGCTATAAATCACCGTCGGAGGAAGCTTCTAAGATTGAGAGGTACGCTTAAAATTTGAGATTTCATTATTATTATTTTATAATGATGAGGGGAAACCTAATATCCCATTAAAAAATCAAGAATAAATTATGATGATTAAACAAAAAATTGTTGAATTGTTTTGCTTGAAGTTCTAATTAAAAAATAAAATATAATTTGCTTGGTTCATAACAACTTCAAACTCTATTTTGAATCTCTTACATGTATAAGATTTTGTTATGCTTGCAAAATATAGGCAATGATATGTCGCTCATCTCTCCGAAATGCAATTGGAAAATGTATGCTTGTGTTCTACTTTTGTATAGCAGATGTTATTGTCTTTTAGAATTAAAAAATCTAGGTTGCGTTTGGTAAAATTTTGTAATATGATTTGAGAGTATGAGTTGTATTTTGAGTTTGTGAATTGTGAAATTATGATTTGAGTGTAGAAAATTTATTTGGTTATGATTTTTTAATAGAGTTTTGAATTGAGTGTGGAATTGAGTTTTGAAAGTTTGATTTGACATGTGAAGTAAGAAAATTTGTTTGGTTATGAGTTTTGGAAAGAGTTTTCAAAACTTTATTCAAATTGTTATAACTCATAACAAAACACACTACTTTCACACTATTAAAAATTATGATCAACACTCATAACCAAACTTTTATAAAAATTCAATTAAAAAATTTATTATTAACAGAAAATAACATTAATCAATTTTTTAATTGAAAATACTACAAAGGAAATAATTTCTTTTCAAAATAAATATTTAAAAAATTTAAATCATAAATATTTAAATAATTTAAATAATCTAAAAAATTTAATAAGAAAAAAATTAAAATAAATATTCAAAAAATTTAAATAATTTAAAATAAATAGTTAAAGATAAAAACAACTCTAATCACCAATCGTAACAAACACATAAACAAACTCAATTAAAAATCATTTTTAAAACTCATGACAAACACATAACTCAAACTTCCATACTACTTTCACAACTCTACACTCAAATCATAACAAATAAACATAACAAAAATTAAATATTAAAAATTTTTATAAAATAAGTTTGAATTTATTTTTATAAAATTTTAAATGTAAAAATTAAAATCATAATATTTGAAATTAAAATATAAAAATATTCAAAAAATTAAAAAATAAAAAAAATCATAACATGTTTAAATATTAAAATATTTAAAATCTTAACAAAATTAAAATATTATTAATATTTTAAAATAGTTTGAATTATGTTTGTTATTTTAAAATAATGATTATGTTTTGAATTAAGTTTTTAAGAAACGTAATAGAATTATGATTGAAAGTTCAAAAACAAACAACACACTCAAATCAATGGGTGAAACATAATTTGAGAGGTTTACCAAACGGAGCCCTAAACTTTATTGAACTCTTATTTTGTCTTTTACAGATTTGGATGCATGGAGAAAAAATGAAGATGAAAAAGATAAAAGTAAAGACCAAAGATTTTAGACAAAGAAAAGAAAAAATACACAAAGATGCTTGACAAAGACCAAGATTATGAAGGAACAAATTTGGTTGATATATGTAGTGGCTTCCTGGTTACAATGAGCAAGACTTGATTGATCACAATGATAAGGATCAAAATGATTGTTGCAATTAAATTAATATGAATTTATAGTAAATTTAATATGTAATGACAATGTTGATTGAATAAAATGATATGCTGGTTGATTAAATAAAAGAGTTTATGTATCTGGTTGAATTAAATGATTTAACAATTTTGATTGAATGGAATGTTTCAGCATCTGGTTGAATGAAATGTACTTGAAATATGAATGTTTTAAAGAACAATTTGGTTTTGTGCGTTTTGAATGGTCTGTAGCAATAGGCAATTTTGATTTGTGCATTAATTGAATTGGATTGTCTATAACAATAGTTCCGGAGAACAAGTTTAAAGATCCAAAGTGTACTAATGTGTCCTTCCAACATGCTCCATGGTGCAACAAAACAGGAATCCCAATCAAAATGTAAGCAACTTCTACATAAAAAAGAAATGCCTTTCAACCTAAAAACATATAACCACCATGAAGCCTATTGTGAAACAAGTTTGAAGAGAGAGAGAGAGAGAGAGAGCAAGATAATGACTCATAATGAGATCTGTAATTGTGTGTAGCATACAAAGAGAATGCACTCTTTTATATGAGAGGAGACACAGTGATCCACGCGAAGCATAAAGAAAAGGCTGTATACAAAGCATAAAGGAAAGCAAGGCTGTAAAGGAAAAGCTAAAGCTGTATATACATTAAGAAAATTAGAAATAACTATAATTATAAGTCAAGCTAAATCATACCAAGTATCAATAACAACTATATACTTAACACCCCCACAAACCAATGAGGGAAAGCACACCAAGTTGACTTTGGAGACAAGATCAACTAAAGCGGCCAGGAGATGAGCCTTAGTGAAGATATCAGCAGTGACGGCAAGATCATAAGGAGGAGATGAACAGTACTAACAAGTAACGGTTGCTGGCGAATGAAATGACAACAATCTCAATATTTGGGCGATCATGAAAACCATATTGTGACATCTAAATAGCACTTGATTGTCACAAAGAGAGAGGTTAGACCAGAAGAAGAAAACCCATAATTAGGTAAAGAAGCCAACGAAGCCAGAGAATTCCTGAGTAAGTATAGGCAAAAGCTCGATTCACTTCTAACGTACGAGAGCCGGAGTGAGGATGTTTTTGCATACGCCAAGAAGAAAGAATCCCCCAAGAAGAACAGAATCCGTGTAGGTCGTCGATCGAGATCCCCACCCAGATCAGCATCGAAAAAGCGCGCAGTTTAAGAGATGATGAGCAGAGTGTGAAGGCACATAGAATAGAGGCCTTGAGGTACGAAGGATGCGGAGTATAGAATATAGTGTGGGAGTGCGAGGAGCCGACAATGTGACTGACATGTGAAAGCATACGGCAATGTCAGGACGAGTCACTGTGAAATAGACAAGACTTCCGACGAGCTGGCGTATAAAAATAGCATCAGAGAGGAGATTCCCCATCGAGAGGAAGTGAGCAATCTGAGGATCAACTGAGTAGAGGTAGTTTGCAATCGAGTAGAACCAGCATGAGCCAGAAGATTCGGATGTATATTGTGCCGGACAATAGTAACTGTAGAATCATGAGAACTGTGAAGTAAGAAGTTAAGAACCAAAGTCATCCATCAAAACTGACATGGAGAAACGTGAGGTGAAAATACCAGCTCACAATTACAGATAATCATAATCACCACATACAGAAGAAAAGTGGTACCAGAGGAGTAAGTCCATACGAAAAAAGACAGAAGTCATAGGAGCTAGAGTGACCCGAAGTCATGAATCAGTAAAACTGAACTTAGCAAACCAAGCACGAGGCGCCTGCTTGAGGCCATAGAGAGCACGCTGTAGTTTGCAAACCTGATGAGGTTGAAAAGTGGACCCAGGTGGAGGTTGCATGTAGACCTCCTCAAGAAGATTACCATTGAGAAAAATATTTTTGACATTCATCTGAAAGAGCCCCCAGTGGCGAGCAGCAGCAACGGCAAGTAAACTGCGAACAGAGGTAAGCCGAGCAACAGGAGAGAATGTCTCCTCATAATCAATACCATATTCCTGGTTGAAACCCTTGGCAACAAGACGAGCTTTGTAGCGTTCAATAGAGCCATCAGAATGAGTCTTGATTTTGTAAACCCATTTGCAGCCAATCGCAGTCTTGCCAAGAGGAAGATCAACAAGATCCCAAGTATGAGTTTGGTCCAAGGCCTGGAGTTCATCAGTCATAGCTTGCTGCCAAAGAGGATTAGTACAAACTTCACGATATAAGGTAGGTTCATAGGTAGAAAAGGCAGCAGATCCAACAATATAATCACGAAGATGGATAGGAGGCTGAGTTACCCGGCGTGGTCGACCCGTAGGAGGATCGATGGAAGGAAGAACCGGTGGA